CTTCGTAAAATTATAGTGCATTTTTTTAAAAAAAAAAAGATTTACATGTCTATTATCGGTCATGAAGTTAATATTGATTTTGAAAAGATAAAATCTTTATACACGTCCTTATAAAATTATATTCTTCTTGTTAATAAATGCTATCAATTGATGGGATCCAAATTAATTTTAAACGGGTTGATTTCTTTTTTCCTCCCCAGTAAAATGTTTAAATCACAAATAAAAAGTAGATATTGTGTAAATTAAAGCAACGCATTCATTTTATGTTGACAACTGCTTTCTTTGAAATTATATCTCTAATGGAAAGAAGGAATACCCTTGAACAAACTACAGAAGACATTAATTAGGCATCATCAGATAAAAAGTAAAATACATATATCTATTATATTTCTCTGGCCCAATACATATATCTATTCCATTAACATATATTACTCTCCTCAATCAATCGAGTATCAGCTAAGTTACTATTGTAAACCTTACCTTGTAGGGCTTCTTACATCTATCTTTATTCTCAGAACTAGAACTTTTCAAACATGATTTCAAAGGCTTTGGTTGTTCACTTGCTGATGGAGACAGGGGAAGACAATATTTTGAAGATCCTCCTCTCTTGTGATCAAAAGGGTCTAGCCAAAAACGGACATTTGCGCTACCAAAATTGATCTTCTTTTTTTGGCATGGAAATAAGCAGTCACTGCATCAGCTTCTCGAAGGAATGATACCCGAGCTGAGCCAGCAAAGCTAAAGACCTTTGTTTTAAGATAATCAACATAGCCAAACACTCTAAACTTCTTTATCAACTCTGACTTCGATGGTAGGTTGACATTATTTGGAAACTTCATGTGCAGGGATTTTGAACAAGCATGGGAAGCTTGTGTTTTTGATTTCTCTCCAACTTTTGAATTGATCATTGTACAAGAAGTATCAAATTGATCGGGATTCTCATTCTTTTTCAAGCAGCCACTAGATGACAGTTTCACTCTTCCTGATTTTGTTGATGTACTAATTCGCAGCCTCTTATTGTCAAGAGAGGAGTCAGATCCTTTTAAACGTTTGTTTGACGCTTCCTTAGCTGTAACCCCATTATTACTGGAATTTTGAGCACTAAGCACAAAGTTAGACGATGATTCTACGTTAACCTCTTCAGCAAATTTCGCTGCAGTTTCATTAAAGCACATGCTTCTCGGACTATGCTTCTGGATACTTTTGTCTGGTTCAGACAGTTTGGTTTGTGATATGGAGGGTGTGGAACATTCCAAGACATGATCGTTTTCTTCAGTTTCTTTAACTCTTTCTTCCGCAGGAAAATCTATATGAAAGGGTATGTCCTTGAAAAGAGACATGCAACTATATGCATTGTCAGGCAAGTTCATCCGACTGCTTCCACCTATGAATCTCACTCTCAAACACAGATCAGAAAGCTTTATAGGATGCTGTAAAGTGGAAGCGAGATATGAATCCATCTCCATTCTAAAACTAGGGAAACAATCAGCTAAGGCAGATGGTAAAACGAAAACATCTGAATCATCTTTGTTGTTTCCTGATACAATCATCTTCAAAGATGAAATTCTTCATTTGTTGAGGAAAGGGATGAAGGTTTCCGAAGCTTGAAAGAACAATAATATGGAACATGATGATTGAGTCGCTTCCTTTTCTTGGCCAGGCAAGCAGTTTTGATGGTAGGCAACGTGTGATGAAGCTCAATTGCAGTGTCTTTTCTTCCACTGAAGGCTGCACTCAACTTAGAACAGTCTCTGAAGCAGGCATCAGCAATCTTCTGCTCTGAAATGTAGTTAATGCTCAACAGCCTCAGCTTTACAGGTCGTAAGCTTTCTCTCATCGTGTAAAATGGATCAAAGTTAGGAGAACGCAAGTGGAGTGATATCTCAGGTAAAACTTCAGCCTTCCTATTTCTAGTGTGAGTCTGCGGAATAATCTTAAGTTGATTCTTATGCAAGGGTTTGACATTTTCTTTCACCACAGAGATTTTTGAGTTCAATATCCTTATAGAACTCATAGTCAAGGTTTTTTCCACCTCTTTGGATGGTATCTGACATTCATGCCGGGGTTCCAAAACATCTGATTCATGAACAAGTTCTTGCTTTTCGACATCCGACGATGAACATCGAAGTAGCTTCACTTCATTGCCTATCATAATACAAATAATAATTTCATGGCACAGAAAAATCAGTATATGGCATCTTTAGTTTAGTTTAAGTATACCCTTTTTACAGGTCAGTGCGTAATTGGATTGTCCAAAATCACAAGGATCTAACAGTCTCCAAACCTCCATAAATAATTTTAACCAACGCAAGAATCAAACACACTAATCAAAACTTAAACAAGATGGAGAGTTAAGCCTAAGAACATCCCCCCGACCATGATATATTTAAAAGAAATTATACTAACATAGAAAATGGCTAGATTTCTTGAACAACTGGCACATCTCATTTCAACAAGTATATCAAATACACTATACATACCTCCTCCTTGAGTTTTTCCGTAAACCCTTTTCTGCTCCATTGAACAATAGCCACGAAAAGCCTGAACCTGGGCTACAGCTCTAACAGCATCAGCAAAATCCAGTTCATCAATCCATGGCATAACAGCAACACTCAAAACAAAACCCAAAACCCCAACTGGCTCAAAACAAGCATTCGATTTTGTTCCTTCATATCTTTCTCTCCCATCATAGTCCCTCTGGGTCTTCATTAGACACCGGCATTTCAGACTCGAAAAAACCCTCTGACCCATCAATTTTAACGCAGAATCAAGCAACCCATAGAAGGTCTTGCATTTTTTAAGCCCCTTTCGATGACCCATTATCCACCTGAAGCATTCCTCGAAGGGGGCGACTTCAGATTCGATGACATACTTGGGAGGGAGCTTGTGGTTGAAGAAGGAGACGCAGACGCCGAGAGAGTCAGTAGTGAGAACCAGAGCGGGCCAAATTTGGTGGGGAAATTGAACCCTAGCCCACACTATATCGCCTCTGGTGACACTGCAGTTTCGCAGCTGCATTCTGCATATGATTCACAGAACAAAGAAGAGTGAAAGTGTTGGTTGAAGTAAAAGGATTGCCCAATCGACCGACGATTCTGATTTCTGAGTGAAGAGTGAAGTGCGAAGTGTTGAATGTGGATTCACTATATTTCCCGCAATATGTCCTGAATCATCATATTCCCCGCCAAAAAGAGGAGGCAACAGTCTCTCTCGTTTTCTTTTATTTGAAAAGTAAGACGAGGTGGGATCTATTAGTACAAGTTTAATTATTGTTTTAAAAAATATAAAATTATATATACACTTTATTTTTGGACAGAAAAATTATATATACTTTATATGATAGTTATTTTAAAATAAAATTACTCCATGTGATCATCATTATAGGACTTATTCTAGAAGAAATTTTTGATCTTTTTTATAATACTCTTTGATTGTTTCAATGAATATTAAACACTTCATATATATATATATGCCCATATTTAATGAGGGTAGTGAAAAAATAAAAATTAATATAATGTTAAAATTTATTATAACTAATAAAGATAATATTAAAAATTACTTGAATTTTATGACAAATTTAATGTTTTAACTGGTTTTATTAATACATGTGAATTAGTTAATGGGTTCTTATAACAAATACTAAAATGAGTATCAACATAAGATTGGTAAAATGAACATGATCAAAATCTTATATATGAAAAAAGAAATCACTAATAAAATACTTTAAATTAATTGAAGTCTAGTACTACCTCCCATCTTTATTATAAGAGCTTATTTGACTTTTATTTTAATCCTAAATATAAGACTCCAATCCACTTTGTCTCTCACATTTATATTTTTTTTTAAAGATAATTCTTATAATAATAGTAGTTCTAATCAATACACTTGATTAGTAAAGATATTTTAAGAAGAAAGAAATACATATTTATTACAAATAACTAACTTAACTAATTCTCTTAATATATTCAAATTAGTCAATCAGTTCTTATATTAAGGATCGGGGTATTATAACTTTTAAAACTGATTGAAATATTTTAAAAAATGGATGAAAAGTCCTTGTTTAGATATTATATTAATTATTTGACCCAAAAAAAGATATTATATTAATTAGAAGGATTGGAATTCGTTTTTATACACAAAAAATACCAATACTTTGAAAAAATTTATACTTTTACCCAATTCAAGCTATTCGCACCAATAAAATTTTCAAGCAAGAACTTTTTGCCAATTTCTTCTATTTAATAATTATTATTAAAATCAAGACAATGAAATAAAATATATACTAGTTCATGAATGCAACAATCAACTAATGGAGTCCACCAACACCTAGATGTTGTGTGTAATGCGAGAGGATCGTCTTCAAATAGGTTATTCTATTTTTGTTGAGGCATGAAATTAATTTTTCCCATGCATTTTCTTTCATAATTTTTCTCATTATTACTCCTTCTCATTTACCCACCTATAATTAAGAGCATAATTAGAGGAGAAAAGTACATTTTCTATATATATATATATATATATATATTTGTACAAGTCAAAATATCCTCCAGTCACTTTAAACTTAAAGACTAATCTCTATCGAACCGAGGGTATTAAAATTTAAGTTCTCCCAGCAAGTACACTTCCTAATATTCAAATTTATGTTCTCTTTTTTGTGAGGGTAAGACTGCTGATAATCTCAACCAACAGTTTTTTGGTACATTGTTTTTTCTACATATTTATCCCAATTAGTAATTTTAATAGGTTTTTTAAACAACACAATTCAATTATTTGAATTTTATAATAAGTGACGAGATAAATAATATTTTAAGTAATTATATTCATATTATTACATTTTTTTCATGTCACTGTCAGAAAAATACATGAATGTAAATGATTCAATTTGTCCAATAACAAGCTGAATGCATATCATGTATGTTCTAGGCTTATTGTAAGGGTCGTTTGGTTGGGGATATGAATAGGAAGGGGAAGCCAAACTTCCCAGAAAGCAAGGCTTATCATAACTTTCAGAACCAAAATATAAATTCACAAAAGGCAGGCATAAGTTTCTTGCCATAAAGCAAACATATTTACACACATCAGTTACAAACAGTTGACGTCATTAAACCAGGAGTAAAGTTAAGCCTAACCATACACACTACATGGTGCCTTGAATATCACTAGGCATGTCCTTTCTAGGACAACATGGCCATTTCAAGTCCTCCAAAACAACTTCTTCACGAACTACTACTACTTATAAATATAGAGCCGAGCATTTACTTTCCAGTCAAGCATACCTAGGCTTAACAGTATATACAAAAGCATCCATTCACAAAATTGGAGCTTGATCTGGTTCTCCAAAATAGCTGCAGAATCATCACCTGTTGGTTTATTCAAAATGATAGAGTATGTAAGATGAAAAGGACAATAAACCCCATCAAGGTAAATAAAGTGACGAACTAACGACCAAACTTTAATATTTATCAGCTGGTTGTTCGATAGAAATATGGATCGTGATTTTCAGTCAATACAAAGATGCTAAGCTGTAAATTTTTAGCCAATACAAAGATGCTAAGTTGTAAACAATGTCCACGACTCCACATGGCTGACAGAAATAACTAATAAGAACTTTCCATTGGTCTTGTCCATATTAAAAAGAATAAACATATACTTCGATAATAGTGTCCATAAAACAACAGCAAAACGTGTATTTGTTAAAAGTTTACCAAAAAAGAAAAGTGTGAAAATTTTTTGACTTGAGGTATTGATCTTGCATTGCAAAATAAGTTGAAGTCAAAACCTTTTAGTAGAATGAAATGCCAGAAAAGTGATATTACCAGTTGACACGTCTATGATATTAATATTCAATAACAGTGAAATCAAGTGGCATCTAAAAATAAATAAACAAAGCTTATGAACTTAGAGCCTAGAAGAATGGAACTTGGAACAACTTGTACAGTTGCAGGGACAGCCACAAAGCATGATTTATCATTATTCATGAACTATGAATGTGACAGACTTCAAAAATAAAACAGAAAATGAAATTGGTCGTTATAAAATGCCTGCATTCATTTTGAAGATCATATATCAGAAGGAAAGAAATTTTCAAAACATGAAAGAAGGAGGGATTCAAACCTTAGCCGCGAATACATTTTCAAACACCATGCCTATGTGTAAGCAACAGTGACACAAACCATCAACCAAAAGAACCTCGGCACTTTGATGATCCACATAAGCATTTTTTCCGACCTCCGGGCATTCCTCTACCCTCAGTATGATCAGAACGGGAAACCCCATAATCGTACGTCAACTCTGTCATTGGTGGAATGTGTCTGAGAGAGAAAAATGCAATATGAAGGAAGGATTGATTATTTTCTTCATAAACAACTGGCTGCCAGAAAACATTTGGGGAACAGCTATGATTCATGAATCTAGCCACATTTCCGAACTCTTTAGCACTTATAACTAGAGGAGATGGAATATCATAATCCTCACTAGGATCATCTGAATCCACTCCTTCAAATAACTGAGGCGTATGATTCCACTTAAATGGAGGATAAATACGGTTAGTATTAAAAGCATACTCATCTTTAATTGCTAGCTCCTCGTTTTGATTTAAGTTTCCTTTGTCAATAACTTCTCCAGCATATTCACAAATAAAAGAACCAGCACGAATAGGATCCAATGATCGAAGGCCCCATCCTCTGTCCCTAGTTTTGAATACTTCCAAGGAGTGCCTTAAACCCAATTGGGACACTCGATTTTTGCAGTTAGGAAAACAACGACAGGTAGGGCCACATTCATGAATTAATGGCTTACGACTTACTAGAATGCCATTGCCAATATATGGAAAGTCGCCTTCATTTCTCCGAATACAAGAGCAATTCAGATCACCAGGGACACATGTTTTTGTACAGTTGCAGCCATCAGAAGACTGCATTAAGCTGAATGGTTTAGAATATCTAAGGGAATGAAAATAAGTGAAACCACCAGGCAATCTCTCATGATCAACATCATTGACAAGTGATACTGGAATACTCTCAGCTCCTGAAGACAGATCTGAAAGAGTAAGTCCAGTCCTTGAAGAACAGTCTGTCTTCCACTTCTGAACTGATTTCCAAACAGAAAAAGCACTAAGCTGTCCGGGCACTCTCACCAACTTGTACTTGAATACACCACTGCCATGTTTCCCCTTTTCTATCCATGAATCTTGAATTTTGTACAGACCATCATAGACATAGATTTTTGCATTTGGAGCAGCAGGATCTTTCATGCCCCGGATGACTCTCACTTCATTGTGCCGTCGTGAACTCCTTTCCAGAGCAAGATTGCCCCCTTGAAGCTTCTGATCAGCCGCCACCGTGTCTCTCTTGCCAAAGTTCCCACTCTGTCCACTATAAATTAAAACATCATCATCATCTGCATGGTCATCATATTCATATGATGAGACAATACTTAGAGCCAAAGGTTCATCCTCAAACCCACCCTTGATGGTCATGGAGTCAATCCCACCCATGGACTGAGCATGTAGCCCCACAACACATAATTCCATTCTGAAATAGAAAATGTCCCCAATCTCAACCCCAGGAACGACACCTACTCTCTTCGTCATGTTTGTTCGAACGCCTTCGGTCATCAATATATTGCCAGCTCTTAAATCTCCACGCTTGGCATCTTCAAGCTGGCTAATTCTTCTTCGAAGCGCATCAAACTCCCTGAGCACAAGATTAACCACTTCCCGGTCACCATCAGTTTGCTGGTCAGGGCTAATACCAACTATAGAACATAAATCCATTTGTGATTCTTGGCTCTTCTTAGTCTTTCTTTGGGATGATTTTGAGCTGCTCCCATGCGGTGCTCCACGTTTTGATGGAATAGAATCTAAAGGGCTTCTGACTGTTCGGATTGGAGTAGGCATCGGAACATCTCCAGAAGGAGGAGCATGCTGGTTAAGATCAGTCCATGCATGAGATTCTTGAGGTCCACCAAAGGGGAAGAAAGGAGCAAACCCAGAAGGATACTGGCCAGAAGAAGGACCTTGAGATGACATCGGGAAAATTGGTAGCAAGCAACGCAGAGGTTTAACATCCAAAATCATGGACTTGTCAGAAGAACTTGATGAAGGAACAGAGTTTTGGCCTAAACCTCCTTCCATTGCAGACTCCTAGCTTCAAAACCCCTATTTTCCCTCAAGAACTTACCCAATATCTTGTTTCCCCTCTTCTATCAAAATGCGTACTTCGAAACTCTTTCCATTTGCAGCAGACACACCCGAACGTATCACGATAGTTTCATCCTTGAAGATTATTTTGAGAGATTAGCGAAATAAAACCCAATAGGTAAATGAGACTACGAATGGAATTTTACTGAGTAAGTGATAGATAAATGGATACAATTTGTCGAAATTCATAAAATGCTTAACAAATCAGCGAAGCATATGTTGGGGGAAAAATTGATGAGAAGAAATATTTACCTTACCTTCTGAAGGTGATTGAAGATTGTAGATGCTTTCTTTCAAACATATGGACTCAAAATGGAGGAGGCGAACTTGAAACTGAAGGAGAAAGCAGAAGCAGAAAATGGGTTTCTCCTAAGATGAGTTGAGCTTGAAGACAGTGAGTGAGAACAATGCGAGGTACGAAATAGTCAGAGTCGTTTTTAAAAACCAATATAAATAGGGAACCGGCCTCTCTCATTTTCTCCTACTGGCCCGCTGCCATCCTTTACCTAGAACTACACCGTTTTTGGCGTAAATAGATGAGGCGGAACACCCCTTTTTTTTTTCCCTTTTTTTCATATAAATAAGCACTCAGTTTTTCAAAATATTTTTTCAGTACCATTCGGTATTTTAAAATATTTTTTAGTAGCATTAATGCTCTAAAATAATTTTTAATCCACTCAACACTCTAAGATTTTTTTTAATAACTACCACAGTATCTGAAATCTAGTAAACCGAAATATTTTTTTCAAACATTCATTATCTTGAAGTAACTTTTTTTTTGTAATATTTTAAGATATTGGATGTACTAAAAATTAATTTAAAGAACGAGCTGTTATTGGAAAACCAATTCATTTTGCTGGACTAAAAATTAGTTTAGAATACTAGCTACTATCTTGACACAAGTACTTAGATCAAATTTTTTATATCCATTATACCATGTTTTTAAATCACACATGGTCATGTGTTCTAAAATTTTTTTTCCATATGAGTTTATAATTAAATGCTATTAAATACTAATATTTCAAAAATAAAACACATGATCATGTGTCATTAGAGAACTTGACATAATATATATAAGGAACTTAAATATTGTTCTTGTTGATATTAGATTTCAACAATTTAGTTCTTATTTATTTGTTTCTTATAATTTAATATTTGAATAATAATTTTGTTAAATATTAAATTTAAATTACTCAATTTGATCCAATATTTGAGATGCCAAATTTGAAGCATTTCAAAATAACTCCCCAACTTTCGAAATTATCTCAAATTTTGATCCTTTGCCCTGATGTAGTCAACGATTAGGGCTGAATTGATAAAGTTAAACGACCAAAGTACTATTTTAATCCAATACTATTTATTCATTATTCTTCTTGACACCACCCCATATTGTTTTTCTTTTAAAAGTGTAATCAGGAGTGAGAAGAACAGAAGCTTGACAGATTTGAAATTCTTAAACAGAAGACAATTACAAACTCAAAACAGATCACTTAAAAATGCCATACATATAGAGAAACCACGGACACAATTTTATCCTATTACATAGGACACTCAACTCTCTTCAAAACTACTGAGGAGCCTTGAACATAACAAAAGAATATGGTTCTGATTCTTAGATAGTAGCTTGAAAAACAAAAGAATCAATACATTTTATGGATATTAATCAATTTTGTAAATATGCTGTATGTGTATTTGTGTGTATGTCTGTCCATGAACATAGCCTGCACTAGACAAATAGTTCCAAGTTATTGAACATTGACAGCAAATACTGTATGAACATAATGCCTACCATCAAGCCAGGTTAGAGATCCAAAATTGTAGCCTCCATGGGCCTCCTTCCCATAGAATGAGACTTCATAAGACAGCTTTTTTACACTCTCAGAGAAAACAAGTCTACTGGGAAGCACCTTGACAATTAATCCCTTTGGTGCATGCACTTTTGCTGTATATGTGGCATTAAGGGGTCCCACATTGGTAACAGTTCTTCTGATTACTTTAGCTTTCTGGTTCCTACTAAGCTTTTTTATGGAGATTGATGGGTAGTTTATGTTGGATATAAGGTCTTTATTGGAGTTCTTTGGGCAAGTGAAGTTAGTCTTAGACATTGATCTTATGTTTTTCTGTGAATAACCATAATAACAAAGGAATTGGAGGTAGTCTTCCACATTTGTTTCAAAGACTAAACCAGGATAGAGAGCTTTGAGTGGGCTAATTTCCCCTGCTCCCATTTCATGTGGATTGGCAAAGTCATTTGAGCTGTTTGTCACAGACTTCCTCAGGTTGTTGTAGGTTGTTGCTGGAAACAAAAAAGTGGAAAGAACTGCATAAGTATCACTTGATTAAATCAATTATGAGATCATCAACTAAACACCCATGTTTTGGTTAAAGTCAATTATGAGACCCTCAACCAAATACTCATTTTGATTAAAATCAACTATGAGACTGTTGACCATGTCTCTCATAAGCAGTCCCCACATGCTTCGGGTGCATTTGGATTAGCATTGGGTAAAACAGAGCTCATAAAATTGATTTGTAGGCATAACTGATTTAAAAATAGGGTGTTTGGATAAATTTTTAGGAAAGTATAATTAAAAAGTGGGTAATAGTAGCTTATGAGATAACCATAGTTTTTGGTTCATAATTGATTTTGGCATGCGAAAGATTGAACATTTTGAAAAAACCAAACTTTATTGGGCTGAGTTAGCTACTTGGTTTATGGTCAAGTCTAATTCCCATTTTCCCTAGAGCATGACCAGTTGTATTTCTTTCTTTTTACACCTTTTTTAACCCAGTACTGAAACGTCTTTTTCTTTCTGTTTTCTTTCTTTGAGAGAGAAATTTTTCAAGATTAAACAATAAGAAGAACAATGGTTGTTGAACCTGTAGTCATGAGGGCTGACTTGATCATTGAAGGACTCCATCTTTTGTGCACTGATTTGATGAATGCTGCAGCACCAGTCACATGTGGGCAAGCCATAGATGTACCAGATTTTATGCCAAACAGGGATGGTTTTTTCCCAGCTGGAACGCTTCCTGGTTCAGTGTTGATGGGTATCATGGCAGCCAGAATGCCAATTCCTGGGGCCATAATGTCTGGCTGAGGAACACATTTGCCACAAGTAGTGTGTTAGATTTTGTAGCCTTGTATACATTTCATGTAGGGCCTTGAGGAAGAAAAGTACCTTGAGTATGTTTTCTGTAAGGATTGAAGGACCTCTAGATGAGAAAGAAGCAACACTTGGTGAGGGTTTATTTCTAGCAACTTCCGCTGTTGGAAGAATTGTTGCGGTTGGGTTCCTGCCATGGATGGAGCCAAGAAAGGCTGAGGATTTTTGCTTGAACTTATTTTCCAATTTTTGGAAGTTTATATAATATATATATATAGATGTTAAAAAAAGAAAAGAGGAAAACCAAAGCAGAAGAATGTATGGCTGGAAAGATGAAGCCACATAAATCATAAATAGTGGAACTAGTTCGTATTTTAAAATTGGGAATGTTGGATACTAAGTCCCTTATTGAGTAGCATGAAATGCTGAACGAGGTGCTTAAGTGGGTCAGTTCTCCCACCTCAACTTTAGAGTAGAGTTCCCTATCCCATTTAGATGCTTGTCAAAATGCTTACCTGGTAGAGTTAGCGTAACTTATAATCTGATTCCCTTCAAAATCACCAACATTTGTGTAGGGAAAAACGCCTGCATCAAAAGGAACATCCTTCTTGTCCTGATCAATCAGTATCATCCCCATGGCCCTTGCATCTTGTACAACCAGCTTCTTGATCTTTCTTGAAACAACTACATCATCAGCAACACAAATCACAATCTTGCCAGCAATTTTACTGTAATCCAATGATCCAGGATAGCAATTCCTGCATTTCATTGATGAATGAACATATTTCCTTATGTTGGTGTTTCTGCATCATAGCTGCCAAGCATTTGCAACTCATAAAAACTAGGATTTAATATTACTACTTCTGTGTTTCTGTATTAGTGCCACTGCCTACTGGTATGTTAGCTACATGTATAAGTGGGAATAACAGTATATGCAGAAATAGATTTTCCTTTCAGTTAGATATGAATTATCTTCAGCTCTTGACAAGGTAAATCTTCACCAGCAAAGATGAGATGTTAAGCAAGATTTACAACTTCATCCTATATAGCGTATTAAGATAAAGATAATGCGACGAGGATTTTTCAAATAGTTAAAAAAAGAAAAAGAAAAAAAGCTAAAGCAAAACTTAAAATTATGATTTTGAAATTACTATTGTGTACCTTGCTTCTGATGGAGGGGTAAATCTAGCAGCCACATTCCCTCCAAAAACAAGAGGATACAACTTTGAACGAGTGAGGTTTGAGAAGTTAATACCTGAGCCCTACCAACACAATCACAGGGGGAAAAAGGTCCGATTTACTATGCATGAAAACTATGCTAAGAAATTTACCACATCTTTTTTCCCCCGCTAAAGCTTTGAATCAGAAATCAAGAAACCTACTTGAAAAGTTTTTCCATCGCCAAGGACAACAGTTGATTGGAAGACCCTATCAATATTAGAAGCTGCCACTGTGAATACCCATGGAGCTGTGTTAACAACTGTGAGAGGATCAGGACCATCATTTCCTGCTGAGCACACCACCATGACACCCATTTCTTCTGCATGAAATGCTCCAATAGCTATGGGGTCATTCAGAAAGTCTGATTGAAACAGTGAGCTAAGTCCAATGGAAATTGAGATTATATCTACTCCATCTTTAACAGCATCATCCATAGCCTTCAATATAGTGGCACCTGAGCAACCTTCTTCTGAGCAGGCCTTGTAGGCAGCAATCCTAGTTGAAGGGGACCCACCTCTTGCTGTTCCTTCTCCTAAACCATAACAACTAGCATTTTTTACCCAAGTTCCAGCTGCTGTTGATGCAGTGTGAGTCCCATGACCAACAGAGTCTCTTGGTGAGCCTTTGGATACTCCACCATAAGTCTTGTTGCTAGCTAAAGTGATTTGCAGATTATAGTATCTTGCACCTATCAATTTCCTACAATTTTACTGATATAATTGAGCTTTTCCCATACTAGGTTGCATACTCATTGATATCAATAATTTTCTTTTTGAGGTGTATTAAACTAGATGCAAACATCTTGTTGAAAACTTTATGGGAGAAGGAATAATCACCTGTTACAATTGGATAGCTTGAAATCATGACCCTGCATGCAAACGCCTTTCCATCTAGAAGGGATTTCCCCAATACCCTCATCATTTAAACTTGGAGATTCTGGCCATATCCCTTTAGGAAAGAATAGATATAAACTTGAATGAATAATGTTTAAGCAACTTGTTTATAACATATCACAGGCGATTGTTTTTCTAATTAAGGCCAAGGTCAACATCAAAACG